CCAGTAATATCCGGCCCGGTGTAGTTTCTGCATGAGGGCCCGAGCTCCTCCATGCTCGCCACAACCACCTCGATGCACTTCATCCAGAACATGCGTTACCTCCTGCTTTCCCAAACACCTTGCGTCTACTGTGGTGAAGTTTCTTTTATATAATGTCCCATGCCGTACGTAAAAGTGCCTTGCCTTATATGCCAAACGGTGCTGTTCTCTCTTGGTGCCAGCTCGCTCTCCTCTGAAGTATTTGAACAAGGGTGTTCTCCAATCCGGCTCTTCGTCTATTGTCATTATCCCCGGTGTTGGGGTGGGGGCAATAAGGATAGTGATCTTTCTTTCAATGCAGTCAACGACTGACGACCCAACTTTAGCGAGGAAGTCGGCTCGCTGGTTGTCGTTTCTCGGAATTTGATGCATGGTGCAGACTTCAAAAGTTTCTTGCACAGCTCGGGCTTTATTTACATAACTCTTCATTCTATCGTTTTTTGTTTCGTAGTCTCCTTCGAGTTGATGTATTACCAATTGAGAGTCGGAGTATATTCGCACCACGCGCGCTCCGAGCTCTTGGGCGATCTCCATACCTCGGATAAAGGCTTCATACTCTGCTTCATTATTGGAAACTCGAGGTAACCTGACGGCAAACTCGACTTCCGTTCCGGTGGGATCAATAACTATTATCCCTGCCCCCGCTCCCGAGGTTGTAGACGAGCCATCCACGTAAATTTTCCACTCCTTTTCGATGGGTATCCTGGTGGTTTCTCGGATGAAATCCGCTAACGCTTGTCCTTTGACCGAGGTACGGGGTTGATATTGGATCTCGTATTGTCCCAGCTCGATGGCCCATTTAACAATTCGCCCTGACGCGGTAGGTTGACCTAGGGTCTGTCGAAGGGGTAAGCTTGTGCGAATCACCATGGTATGCGACAGGAAATAAGGCCGGAGTCGTCGCGTAGTGAGGACCAGTGCGTACGCTATTTTCTCGACTTCAGAATATCGGCTTTCCGACGTAGTGAGGATCTTACTAGTATAGTAGATCGGCCTTTGTTGATTATTAACTTCCTTGAACAACACCGAACTGATGGACTCATCGCCCACTGACAAGTATACAAACAGGGTTTCGCCCTTTTCAGGGGTGCTAAGGATCGGCAAGCAAGTGAGAGATCGTTTTAATGCTTCGAATGCGAGCTGGCATTCGGTGGTCCATTCGAACTGAGCTGTTTTCCTTAGTACTTTGAAGAAAGGCAGGCTCTTATCAGCCATTCGCGATATAAACCGAGCTAGGGCTACAACTTTTCCTGCCAAGGATTGGACTTCCTTGATGGAGCGAGGAGGTGTCATCTGAAGTACGGCCTCCACTTTATCTTGGTTTACCTTGATGCCTTCCCGATTAACAATGTATCCCAGGAACTTTCCAGCTTGTACTGCGAATGCACACTTAGCAGGGTTCAACTTCATCCCATATAAACGAAGAGTTGCAAAGGTCTCAGCTAGGTCTGCGAGATGCGTAGAGCGCCTCTTGCTTTTAACTAACATGTCATCCACATAAACTTCAATGTTGCGTCCGACTTGGGCCCGAAACATCCTATCCATTAATCGCTGATACGTGGCTCCCGCATTTTTCAGGCCGAAAGGCATCACCACGTAACAGTAAGTCCCCGTGGCGGTGACAAAACTTACTGCTGGCTGGTCCTTTTCGTCTAGCGGAATTTGGTGGTATCCTTGCGAGGCATCCATCATACTAAGTAGCTCGCATCCAGCAGTGGCATCTACAAGCTGATCTATGCGAGGTAAAGGATAATCGTCTTTCGGGCAAGCCTTATTTAAGTCCCTGAAATCGATACACATTCGCCATTGGCCATTAGCTTTCTGTACTAACACCGCATTGGACAGCCATGTAGGGAACTGAATTTCCCGGATGTGTCCGATTTCCAGAAGTCGTTGAACTTCCTTCTGTATGATTTCGTCTTTTTCGGTACCGAAGTGTCGCCGTTTCTGCTTGACGGGCCTGCACTCGGGTCGTAAATTGAGCCTGTGTACAGCAGTTCGCGGTGATATACCGGTCAAATCACTTGGTTGCCAAGCAAAAATATCTTCATTCGACCGCAATAACGCTATCAACTCATCCCGAAGAGGTGGTTCTAAATCCTTACTTATCCGGGTTTGTTTCATCATCCCAGGGACGAGGTCGATTGTCATCAATTCGTCCATGGGTTGTACATGATTAACTTTATCATCTGGATCAACTCGGGGGCGCTTCTCGTCTCCCAAGTCTTCTTTTGTGAGGGTATCACGTCGGCCCTTCTCTGCTATTTTAACCATTTCGACATAACACGATCTCGATTGGGCTTGGTCGCCTCTGACCTCTCCTACCATCCCACCAACCGGGAACTTAAGCTTTTGATGAATGGTCGAAGGGACCGCCCGAAAGGTATGTAACATTGGTCGTCCTATCACGATGTTATATGAGGTCGGCGACCCCTCGACGATGACAAAATTGACAGTTTGAGTGCGTGTTCGAGGTGGAGTTCCTATAGTGACAGGGATTTTAACTTGTCCAATCGGCGTCAGGGACCCTCCTGTAAACCCAAATATCGCTGTGGTGACGGGAAAAACCGGGAGGTCAAGCTCCATTTGCAGGAAACACTCGTAAGATATGACGTCCACCGAACTTCCGGGGTCAACGAAGGCGCGAGCGACATCGTATCCTCCCACGTTAATCGTGATGAGGAGAGGATCACAGTGAAAATCATCTAGGTCTGTTTCATCTTCAGGACTGAACGAGATAGTGGGATAGTGACGATACTTCGGTGTAGAAATTTGGCAAACTTCATGATTATTTTTTAGGCTACCGAGATGACGTCTCCTAGCCCGGTGAGTATCTCCTCCTGTAGGACCTCCTGAAATCATCTGAATGTACCCTCTTTTCGGCGCTGGCGGTGGGGGCGGTGCTCGTGGCGGGTTCCCGAACTGGGCTTCACGTTTTTGCCCCCGAGGTGAATCTATCTTCACAAAATCCCCAATCTTGTTATCCCTGATGAGACGTTCCACTTCGTCTTTCAGATGTGCGCAGTCGTCGGTCGTATGTCCGTATTCGTTATGAAAACGGCAGAAAGTACCCAATGTCGGATCTCGACGGGGGGCTCCGCGAGCGGTTCGAGGCCACCGCAGATCGGCTCTCTTCTCGATCGCGTATAGCACCTGGGATAGAGGAGCTGTAAGGGGCTGGTATGATTGGAACCGAGATCCCTTAGCATCCGGGACAATACTCCGACTAGGAATATTGGCATCCCTGCGAGGTAACATGGGCTCCTTGCCTCTCTTTACTTCGCTGACCCGTACGTTTGTGGCTTGGTGAGATTCCTCCACTTTCTGTTGGCGGGCTTCTTCTAAATTAATGAACCTAGATGCCCTTTCTAATAAGTTATCGAAATCAGGTGATGGCTCCAGCGCTAGAGCTCGGAAAAATTCATCATCTCTCAACCCTTGTGAAAGGGCCGCCATGAGCACCTCGTCACTGGTAGTCGGGACTTCCAGGGTGGCCGAGGTAAACCGTTTGATGTAACTCCTGAGGCTTTCCTTCTCCTTCTGGCGGATGCTGAACAACGATAGGGAGGTTTTCTTGCACTTTTTCGAGCTGGCGAACTGGTTCATGAAGGCCTTAGCAAATTGTTCGAAAGATTGCATGCTCCCGGAAGGTAACAAACCGAACCAGGCCTGCGCAGGCCCGGCTAGGGTGGTGGCGAAGGCACGACATCTCACCCCTTCCGTGAGCTGATGAAGTGATGCCGTATTGTTGAAACGACTTAGGTGTTCGGCGGGATCCGATGTGCCATTGTACTCGAACGAAATGGGTCGGTAGCTAGCGGGTATGGGATCGTCATCGAGGTGTTTTGCGAAAGGGCTAGACCCCACGAGATCTCGCATTGACCTGTTCCGTAAGGCCTTTAATTCGTTCATATCACGTCTCAGGCTGTCTACTTCGGTCCTGACTCCATGACTGTCGCCTCCTCGATTTTCCGAATAACTGTCGCCTTCATCATCAGTTCGCCCCTCGTTCAGAGAGCGTCTCAGGTCCCTTTTGGGTCGGTTATCCTGAGGTAAGGATTGGGCGTAATTGCGGATGGCCGTGGTGATCATGACTTCTACTTCATCTCGGGTGTACGTGCGCTCATCAGGGGGTGGAGCCGGTGCTGCAGCCGGTCTTTTCGAAGCAGCTCCAGCGCTCTGAAATTCAAAAGAAGGGCTTCCTGAAAAGAGAGGGACTCGTCTCTCTTTCTCGGGCGTGAGCAGGCTGCACCCGGACTTCTCCCTCGAGGCAGGCGGCGGATCAACGCCAGGTGTATCGTGAGCTGCTGCTTCCAGCTCCTTCTGTAGGTTTCGGGTAACCGTGTCTTCTCCTTCCATCTTTTCTCCACGTTCTTAGCTCAGATCTGGACTTCCGGGGGTAGATCTGATTTTTCCCGGAAGCTGTTTTCCCAAAACTTCAAGATTTTCCCACAGACGGCGCCACTTGATTTAGTCCGTAGGTCTTCGTCTTCCTCAAGCCAGCTCCGTCCGTACTCCGGGTGAATAAACCTGCAACGCCGGGAGGGGTTCCCGGCGAGAAAGCTCCGACGATCAAGTCAGTGATCGGAATAGAAGAGAAAATGTATATGCAATATAATAATGATTAGTGTAAAAAATCCCATCCCTTTGTGTGTGTGTTGATTCTCTTATTTATAGATGAGGAAAGCTTGGCCTCCAAGGCTTTCCTTTTTTAGGGTTTCTCTTTTCCCCCAAGTCATGTATCTTGGGCCTGTATTGTCCTGGGCTCGCCTTACCTCGTTTTGGTATTAGGCTAGCGAGTTAAGGTACTCCCACGTAGTTCCGGAGTTCGCGCCATACGACGACTTCGCTCACGGTACCGAGCTAAGACATCATGGGTTCTTCATTATGGGCCTATCGTATTGGGCTTATCCTAATGGGCTTATGTTTATTTGTTAATTGTCAAACAAGCCCGTATCAGAGTTAATGAACGAGCCACTAGCGCCAGGTGTCGCTTTGGACAGCTTGATAAAGTACTACAAATCCGGTTACGATGCGGTGAGAATGTACACTCCTAGTGCATACGTGATCCTATCGAATAGATTGGGAGAAGCAAACGATACAGAGCTCGTTCCGTTTGCTGCGGGCCTTAACCGCTCGGTGATAGACGTGCATTACTACAATCGTTATTCCGATTATTTCCGGGGCTTGACCGGTCGGCAAAACGTCGAATTCATCTACAAGAAACGTTCAAAGCAGTTGCGGGAATTGAGTCGAGATGGCGGACCTCTAAGCTTCGTTGGTAAGAAGTAAACGGTTACGAGCGATAATTATTGCATCTCTAATACATTTTTTTTGATTTTGCTCGTTTTTCGAAATGTATGATTGGATCGGAGCTTGAACTGATTTTGCAGGTGAATGGACAGCCGATTTATATGTTCGAAATGCTTCGGTGCATGAATATCGGAGATTTGCCGAAGCTCAGCTAGAGGTGTATGGGAAGGCCACGTTTGGATGGGCTTATTGGTCTTACAAGTGTGAACAAAAGTACTGGAGTTTCAAGTGGATGATTGAAAAGAGCTATATAAGGCTCTGAGTATATATATGTATATATATATATATATTCTGTAATTTAATATCTTACGAAAATGAAGTCTTGCTAATTAAGCGTTCGAAATACTAGAATGATGCACGTGCGTCACCAGTGGCGGAGAAGAAAAAAAAGTTATATATTTATATATAGAAATTAATTTAGGGATTTTTAATACTTCAAAAGTATAAGGAGATTAATTTGAAATCTTATTAAGTATTCACAATCTTTCTTTCCACAATTTATTAATGCTTAATTAATGGTGAACCAAACTCAATTTCCAATTAAGAACTTGGAAGTTATCGGTACAAAGAACAACCTTTTGAGGCAATTATAGATCCCGGGAGACAATTTGTATTGATCAATAAAAATCGATTTCAATGTTTTTTTTTTTTTTTTTTTTTTCTGGGTTTATCCAATTTATCGTGAAAAGTAAAGGGAGATAAAGTAACCGTGTGTCGATTGTCTTCTAAAGATAAGTTTTCTTCTTCCTTCAAATGGAATAAATATACCAATCAAATTCTGGGAGGCTTCATGAAGTGCTTCTTTCGGAGTTAAACTCCCATTTGTCCATATTTCGACACATCATTTATGTTAAAACGACTCGAGTTTAATGGAACTCTACGTTTCTATATTAAACTAGTTAGTTTTCCAATACTTGGCATCTCGTGAAAGATTGCTTGTGACAAGCGGTTGTGACGAAGACGTGGTGGATATGGGTTGAGTTGTGTTTTGACAATGAAAATGAGTGCAGTAGACATTAACGACGGCCATGATGATGAATATAATGTGCGTAAATGAGGTTCGCGGTGACTACTAGTTGGTCTTTTTCGCGAGCTGTCGAAATGCATTTTCAATTCTATAAGGATACTAAATGATCTATATTAAAGTACTATCATTTCCGATCCCCATTGAATTATAGTGAAGCTTTGGAGATATGTACTATAGAAGTAAGGCACTGAAACCTTTATTAATCAGTACGCATATACACACAAATACGCACATACATAGGTGTGTGTGGATCAACGGTAAAAAATCACGTGATGTAGTCTTCACCAGGTGTAGCATAGAAATAACCAAATTGCGGTTATTGGTCGAAATTGATTAATTAGTGAAACTAAGATTTGAGGGATGAAATTGTAATACATTATAATTTGAGGGACGTTTTTGTCTTTGACGGTTTTTTAGGCAAAAATATAATCTTGGGTAAATTACACCCACACCCCTGATGTATGCTTAAATAACTTTAAGGTCCCTGTGATATCGATAATTACACCCACCCCCTAAAACATAGTTAGAAAAGCTAATGGGATAATTTATTGGATACGTTATTCCGATAGAGTTCTAATGAACAATTATTTTTAGCTAGTGGTGGAGACAACATAGAGTTATGAGGTGACATGGCTCTTCCAACATTTCTTAAATCACGCATAGCTCTTTGTTGTCTCAACCACTTCCGGAAACTAATAGTCATTTAAAACTCTATCGGAATAACGTATCCAATAAATTATCCCATTAGAGTTTCTAACTATGTTTCAAGGGGGTGAGTGTAATTATCGATACCATAGAGACCTTAAAATTATTTTACCATACCTTAGGGGTGTGGGTGTAATTTACCCTATAATCTTAGTTGTCATTTTGGCTTTTTTAGATTACTTTTCTTTTTCTTTTTTATATCTAGACCTATTTGTTAATAAGTAGTCAACTATAGAAATTGCCCTTTAATTAAAGGTACGAGTAGTTTCATATTTTCAACATGAAAGTTAAATATAACATTTTTCCAAAAGTAAAGACTAAAGAGTGCATATCAAAGTTTTTTTCAATGGGACTGATTAGCCCCTCAGTCCCTTCAAATTAGGTTTGGAGACTTTAGTGGGGAAAAGGGGACTTTAATTAATGTATTGGGTAAATTACACTTACACCCCTGAGATGTATTTAAATAATTTTGATGTTCCTGTGGTATTGGTAATTACAATCAACCCCCCTGAAACATTGTTAGAAACTTTGACGGGATAATGCATTGAATACGTTATTTCAATAAGATTCTAACGAACTATTGATTTCAGGAAGTGATTGAGACAATATAGAGCTAGGGGTAAACATGGTTCCCCCAACATTTTTTAAATCACCCCTAGCTCCATGTTGTCTCAACGACTTCATGAAACTAATAGTACATTAGAATTCTATCGGAGTAATGTATCTATTGCATTATCCCGTTAGAGTTTCTAACAATATTTCAAGGGGTGATTGTGATGACCACATGGACTTAACAATTATTTTAGCATACTTCAGAGGTGTATGTGTAATTTACCCTAATATAGTGCATTCTCCATTCTTGTGTAACGAAAATTTGATCTTCTTGGAAGGGATGATTTAGCAATTGGAGCAAGTGAGTTTGTATCAATTGATCTAAGTTCGAATTCCCTTGTCAATAATCATTAGGTCGAGTCTGTAATATACATTTACGTATCTCGTATGATTACACGAGAGCATATATTTATCCAGTGTATCAATATAATTAATTGAATAATTTACTGTCTTGTAAGGTAGATCCAACTTTAAAAAAAATGAAAAAAAAAACCAATAAAAAGATTCCTACAAAAGTTTGTCAGTGATTCCGGTAATATATATATTGAATAAAATAATAGCAGTGCTTGCTTGTTGGGCAACATCATAATTCATAATGCAATTATTTTCAATCAAAATCTAAATAAAGAAATCAACGGTCCACAATTCCCCTCTCCTTCTTTATCTTCCCATCTCTCTCTCACTTCTCCTTCCCTCTTTCTCCTCCCTCCTCCTCCTCCCACCCTCTCTCTCTTTCTAACCTCTCTCTCTCTAGAAAAAAGATGTTTAGATAACACACATACGTACACAACCATATATATATATATACATATAAATAGTGTGTGTGTGTGTGTGTGATTTATACTGTTTATTATTAATTATTCCCTAAAGAAAAGATGATGTTAGGAAAGAGAGGCCGTCCACCGATGAAGAGGACAACAAGCATGACTGAGTTCACCCTGGATTTCACCGGCGGCGGCGCTGACGCTGTTTATCAGCCGTTGGATCCTCACAACCCCTTCAATGTCGGCGCCGCCGCCGCCGCCGCCTCTCCAAGATCCCACCGCCGCAACTCGGCGGATTTCGTCCAAACTGCACAGTTCTTGAGGGTTTGTTTCCTCTGTCAACGCCGCCTCGTCCCTGGCCGCGACATATTCATGTATAGGTATATACAGTAAAACCTCTCTAAATTAATACGAGTCAGTCGGATACATCAAAATTTGATTGCATTCATTTAAGAAAATATTAAATTATCGAATTAATAATTTAATACGTTCTCTACCGAGTTAGCTGCAGAACAAATTATTATTTAAATGAGATTGTTAATTTATGGAAGCTCTACTATTTATATATATAAAAGTAACAAAAAAAACTAATTAGCAAAACACTAATAAAAGTAAAATAAGAAAAAAAAAATGATATTTCTTAATTAAATTAATTTTATTTATTTTTGGCAGAGGTGATAGTGCTTTCTGCAGCCTAGAGTGCAGACAAAACCAAATGACACAAGACGAGAGGAAAGAGAAAAAGTGTTCATTGGCGTCCAAGAAAGAAGCATCAGCTGGAACCACCGCCGCCGGGAAAAAAGTCTCCGCCGCCGGCGAGACAGTCACCGCCGTGTAGATTAGCGTATGTATGTTTGTATTGTGTGTATGTAATGTACCCCACCACCATAAAAAAAATAATATATGTACATGTGGGGCTAATATTATATTCAGCTAAAGTTGATGGCCAAATTTTGGAATCCAACTTAATTAATTGCACACAGCCCCCTGAGAAGTACTACTACTTTGTAGTACATGTACTATAACATTTTGGAAGGCAAATCATTTGGAGAAATTGCTCTTTTCTGTGTCAATAAACTTTATTTAATTATTATTATTGTTGTTATTATTTAATTATGTTCCATTTAAATTCAAGAATCTCATAATAAAACATGGGTAATAAGGATGTCAAATGAGTACTTATATATATAGATTGCATTTTACCATTTTACATCCAATTGAGATATAAGAATTTGAAATTCATTGTCGAATAAATTTGATTCAAACAAATTACAAAGTTTAGTAAAGTGCGTATAGTATATTTTAACCTATAATCTTGTCTCTGATACCATATTAGAATACACGCAGCACAACAATTACGCAAACATTGTACAACTATATTCGACTAAGATTTGACACACACTAAAGCCTCCACCACTAAAAATTTCCCAAAATTGTTTAGAAGGTACTTTCCGAAAAAATAAATAAATAATGAAGTATTTAATATTTTTGTTAAAATAATGCAAGCAAGTTAAAATATCATATGGTGGTCATTATTAACTATTTGGAATTACTTAACCTTAAAATTATGCATTAGAAGAGGGACGTGGTTGCAAATACACTAAATTACACAAATAAAAATAAACTTTTATGCAGGGGCGACAACACGACCCCAAGCCTCTTGTTTTTGCCCGCGCATATGTACGTATGCTCGATCGTATGTAAATAAAGCTATAATACAAAATACCAGTTATCTTATATTTCACGAGGTGTATCAAATAGGTAAATCATTTTTTAGTCTATCGTCATGGAATACCTTTTTTTTTTTTTTTTTTTAATCCAATAAGGTGCCTATCGATTAGTGGTGCCCATAAAAAGAGAGTAGTTGTATTTTAATGGACTCGAAATAAAAGAATAAAATCACTTTTAAATGGGATGCGACAAGTCTTTGTGTTAGGGCTTCAAAATATAGACGAAAAAGTCGGGAATTAGCTTTTTTTTTTTAATCGCCGATGATGTTAAATAACCATCCACAAAATACAATTATACATACTGATAGTATTTGATTATGTGCAATTGATCAACAATTAAATATCATGTGATGTATTATGAGCTGGTTTTTTTCTCATTAAATGCTATGTTGAACTAAGTACTAGTATATTTTAATAAATTATTGAACAATTATTGAATAATGAATTACAAATTGTTTAGTCCATCTCCTTGGAAGTGGATTGAAAATTCAAAACTGTAGACATCGGAGAGAGTGAGCTAATCTGAGAGTGAAGTTTGGTCCCACAGAAAAAAAATAAAAAATAAAAATTAAATTAAATTAAATTAAATAAAATTAAAATTTTGGGGTTGGGACTTGGGACCATCCCAACACCCACTTTTGTTTCATTGTGGGGTGCACCATTACCACCACATGTTTTTTAGTACTATCTTTTTATTAACTTTAGGGTAAATTACAAACACCTCCCTGAGGTATGGTCAAATTACAAAACCACCTCTCTTGTTTGGATAATTACAACCACCCCTCAACTCCTCAAATTTAGTGGAATCTTCGAGATTATATGGAATATTATCACTTTTGTACCCGTTTTATCCCATTCAAATTCTACATTATGAAGCAAGATGATCATAATATGTGATTTTTAACTTGTATATATCAGTTTGTGGTGCATCGGAAACTGTATGTTTACACAAAACGAGTACAAACTAGAGCACATTTCACAGAATCTAGATGATTATGTTGAATTTGGCACCATAAGGGTGGAGGTGTAAGAAAAAATCATGTTGAGGGGGTAGATATAATTTTCCAAACAAGAGGGGTTTTTTGTAATTTGACCATACCTCAGGGGGTGTTTGTAATTTACCCTTAACTTTATGAAATATTACTCCCTCCGTTTCTAAATAAGTCTCATTTTTTAACTTTGCATAAATATTAAAAAAGCTGAATAAATATATTTTCAATTGAGAAAATAGATATTGTTAGATCAAGATATCCTTATTAATTAATGCAAAGAGACCGCTAAAGACTTGATAAAGACATAATTAAAAAAAAAATATAACTAATGCAGTATTAGAAGTCTAAAGTGATATATAATATGGAACAAAAAAAATTCTTAAAAGTGACGGATATTACGAAACACATGAAGTAATTTGTATGCCCGAAATTCATTAGTTTCATTATGATGGAAAATTTCAGAGTTAAAACTTCATATCCTAAAATTAATTTTCCCAAATCGTGTGGAATATTATTTTATGTCATAATTTTAAAATTATTTTCCCCAAATTGTGTGGAATATTATTTTTATATAATAATTTGTCATGGAAGTTATGTTCTTGCTAGGATACAAGTGAAAGTATCACTATGTATGCAGCTAATATATTCTAATTTATTAATTTTGCTCCCCAACATGATACAAAGATTTTAGAGAATCGAGGTCTACGAAATACTCCCTTCTTTCCTTAATATTTGTCACTTTCGCCATTTTTTCATATTTCAAATTATTTGTCATTTCACTATTCCAATGAATAATTAATTGCAATTTTTTCAATTTTACCCTTTCTCACTCATTATTAATAAAAATATAATTATTTAAAAATCAAATAATGACATGGGTATTTTAGTAATTTACTATACTTTTTGCTACTATCTATGCATATTTATTGAGTTTCTTAATATGTGGGCAACTAACAAAAGTGACAACTATTGAGGGAAGGAGGGAGTAAAATTTTTCTCTTGTAATGTATAAGCTATGTTTGGAAGACAAATCCTTCTTGTAATTATTTGGAAGGTAAATTTCGCTTTGCACCTTGTATTTTGGATCGATATCACTTTACTTCATTGTATTTTCGATTGCATCGATTTGCTCTATGTACTTGAAAAATTGTCTCTGCGTAGCTCTTACCGTTAGTTTTCAGACTTTGACCTTAACACAGTTTGATCTAAGTCCGAAAATTACAAAACAAACCACCCTTCACAGTATAAATAATTATTAAAAAAATTAAAAATAAATTGTGGCTGATCCATATTTTCTTGTTATCTTGAAACTTTTACTATTTTAATTTTAATTTTTGTTTTTCTTTTATGGTTTTTTTATAATTATTTAAACTGTGAGAGGTAATTGTTTTTCGTAGTTTGAACTTATTTCAGGGTTGACCGTAATTTATCCATAATAGTTATTAGAGTTAGGCAACTTTTACAAAAAAGGCATCATTAATTACAATTATCTAGATGGGTTGGAGACCTAAATATTGTGCTTACGCAACACAAAGCATGAACCTCGTGATTAATTATAATTAATTGTCAACACCAATTACTTATGACATCACAATCCACTTTTGGCCTCGAATCAAAACAAAAACCATGTACAAAATTAATTTTCAATAAGCCAATTATTAAAAGAAGATTATTGATATATATATATATATAATCATAGTGCGTGCTCGACTTTCAAAACACCAATAATTTGTATACCTATATTGTTGATATTTATAAGCTTTATGCAAAAAGATTTAACGTGGATGACCATTGGTGAAACAGTGTACATACAACACACTCTCGATAAATTAATAATCTCACTTAAATAATATTTTTTGTTTTTACTTTCGATTCATTGAACACATATTAAATTATTTGTTCGATAATTTAACATTTTGCTAAATTAATAAAATTTTACTAATTCTAACTGTACTAATTTATAGAAGTATGTATAACTGTGTATTGAATGTGAAATTGGTCCACTAATTTCTCAATTGGTGGAAGAGAATTCTTAATGAACGGTGGATGCTTCTTCCAAGAATTTTTACTTTATTCCTCTTTTGATTCTTATTTCATTGAAAGCATAAAACAATTGTCATTTTAAAATTAAAAAAAATAAAATTATTATGTTGTCATAAATATTTAATATCCACAACTATATGCAAATTTAATATTTCATTTTGTATACGACAAGTTATGATAACGTCACTTTTAACACTTAGCAATGGTGTTGGTCTCTAATCCCACTCTCTTGTAAATTATTTTATATTCTGCAAGCAGCAGATATACATTGTATGTGTACTTAACAGATAATAAATGTATCATTAATTAAATAAAAATTATAAGTTATACTTACAAGAATTAATACTGTCGTTATGTATGATTTTGTAGAATCTTCGTCCATGTAATTTTACACCATTAATCTACACATAATAACATAATACACGTGTGTATGTGTGTTCGGTGACTAATTATTTATGTAGATCTATTATTTAAAATCACATGGTGTATTTCACTAGGTGTAAGATCTCACAGACCGTTATGTATCGATATAAATGACGACATAAAATTAGTTAAAAATTTTAAAATAAATAAGACTTTAAACTAACTAAAATAAATTGTTATATATGAATTCATGCAATCTGACATTAATTTTCTCTTATTTTATCCCGATATCTGAAATAATCTCCCTTCTTCTTGAATTTCTTTTCATAACTATGCTTTTGAAATATTAAAGTAGATTTTCATGGTTCTACTATATTATGATCTCTATGAAAATATCGACACTTAAATATTATTACCAACACCAAATATTTTGTCGCAATAAATATGAGGGATAAAGTAAATATTTTTCTTGTGCTATTTACTCCATTTTTAACGTTAAATTTTTAAAATATATTAGTTATCCCCATCCATTTTAAATCGAATTTACCTTTTAATATGTTTACTAATTTTTATATTTTGAGTTCAAAATGTCATAGCTGTAAAATTTATTTTAACCAAAACAATGTATCATAAAAAAATAATCATTATATTTAATTTTTAAAACTACATTAAACATGTAATACTTCACTTAAAACAAAATGACTTTTCTCACATGATCATTCTTATGATATAAGATCTCCGAAAAACTCACAAAATATATTTGCGACGAAAATAATTTTAAGAATCCCTCGATCGTAGTCATTGACATTTTGTTGATCGTGAAGAATCCCATCGATCTTCAACCTCTTTCAGCGTTATGTTTTAATTTATACATTTTAAATTATAAGTTATTGTATTATTTTCTTATAAAAATACCCCTAGAAACAACTTGGAGAAAATAACATTGAAAATCCTTGATTCATCGCA